ACTTTTTTACTTTGAAGGAGCCCTCCGCATGTTTAGATTAGTTCGAAATGGAGGCCCTACCGCTTGGTCGGTCCACAAAGAATATTAATTTATGTAAATTAACGGAGCCTGCGAAGGTTTTTTGAAAGGCAATCCGCAATCAATGAAACTAACTATACTAATTCAGTAAGACCAAGACCTTACATACGGAATACATAATATGGACATGGAAAGCACAATCAGTATCAGTACGAGTGTATGGGGCCGGTGTTGGAACATAATGCTTGGCTGGCGAAGTCGTGGAATTCGGTAGGTACGTCGCTTTGGCTTTTTTATTTATAAATGGCTAGTCAACGGAGTGTGCTTTCTTCACTGCGGGAGATTATCGGAGCAGACCGGATCTCCCAACCAATAGAAACCTTGACTCCGGACCAACAAGGCTGAGTCCATCTGAGGTGGAATACGGATCCTTCTTTTCTTTGTTCCTCCAGTGAATTAGGTATTCCGCATGTCACTTAGTACCTTTTTTCGTTCGTAAGCAACGCGCGATGGAAAGCCATTTATTTATAAAAATCCTTGTTTCGACAAGACGCGAGGTAGTTTCCTGCCCCGTTTCTATTTTTTAGGTATTGCTACCGAGAATAAAGCTGCTAAGATGGCAATGCAATGCAATGGATTTGGCACCATAGCTTGGTTCATGCCGATTCGCGAATAGGATTTGTTCCGTGTTTGACTAACATAGGACTTCGTTCAGTTTGCTGGACCATTCCATTCTATTGAACCTGTGGATTTCCCGGTCACCTGTTGTGTTGGGATGATCTCTTTTCCCTCTCTCCTTTTTAAACTGAACTCTAAGTATACTAAGTATAGTTAAAAATGAGCGCTGATCGCAGAGAGGACGTTCGGTAAGGCGACGAGTGGATTCGGTGAACGCTCCCGGAGCAGGCTCAATCATCGGACGAGGAGTCAAAGTGACTTGATTCTCTTAATCAATTGGGAACGGCCGACCAAAAGGATCAAGAACCTCGCCTTAATGAGTTACGTCGCCAAGAACACATGCGACCGAAGAGGTCGTAAGAATTCTCGAAACTCACTATGGCCCTGAGCATCTCCATTCAATCTTAGAAGATTTGGAGACCAAGGGGGTAGTTAGTTTATTTTATCAATGGACCGGGAGCTGTCGAAAGAGCAGGAACTAAAAAAGGAAAACGAGTGACGTTATGCTGCTCACTCTCAGTTTGGTCTTACTTCTGGTTCATTTTGTTACAGTACCAAATGCTTGGTAGAGCTTATTCATGATTTCGTGCTGAACTAGGTTCGAAAGAAATGATGACCGGTGTGTACAAAGTAGGTTTGCTTTTTCTATAGATAAGATAGACAGAACGCTAGAGAGAGGCCAGAGTAAGACAGTGAAAGAGAAGGACTTCTTTCACGTACTGAAAGGCAGGCCTTGTGTTTGGTTGCTTCCGTGATAAAGGGAAGATTCCTCTTCGAATGAGTTTCACATAGTGAAACGAATTCTCTAGTGACTTCGTACCTTATCTATATATCTATATGCTCGGACATCCATTCATGAGAGTCAGCTTCGTTTCTTTGCTTTGTCTCGAACACATTCTGATTACGCAACGCAGACAGACTTTCTTTTGCTTCTTGGTTGATTTCTCTTACAAATAGTTATGGGGGGCTTTAGCCCCGGCTCGATGTAATTGAGCGTCAGCGAAGTTATTGGAAGGCCAAGCCGTAAAGAATAAAGGAAGACAGAGATACGAAAGAAAGGGAAAGTCGCCAAGCGAAAGAGAAGGCTGTTTCAGTCTCAACGCCGTAATATTCCAATAATTCGTCTATTAGTTGAAGAAAGCAAGCAGTGAGTGCAACGAACGAGTAAGAAGGCTAGTATGACCAAGGACGGTTCCATTCGGTTTACGTGGAGTAAAGGCTGTGATCTGAGGGTAATGGTTTAAAAATAGTATTAGAAGACAAGATAGTCGTTGAGGTCTTTACTACTTACCTAGGAAGGTAGTCATCAGCTAGTAATAGAGCTGCTAGGAAGCAATGGTTGCGTAGCTAGTGGTTTACAGGTTATTGCCCCAGGAATATTCAAAGAATATTCAAAAAACGATCGAAGAGAGCGTAAAGCGATGGGTTGGAGTCCAGGCTCGATGTAATTGAGCTAGTGCGAAGCTCCCAACTGTTGTTATTGCTGCTAATGCAGCTAAGGACTTTTAGAGCTACTTTACACGGCCGGCCGACCTACGATTTCACTATCTTATACCTAGCCCCACGGGTGGACATATGATATGAGGGTTTCAAGTCGATACAAAGATATAGGTTTAAGAGATAATTCCAAGTGTTAGACGCAGGGAGTTAGCACCTAAAGCTTGTATCTCGGATTGGAATCTCTGGTGTCTGAGGACGGGGACGGTGTTGGCGTGGAAAAGAGAGCAAGCTGAATTCAAATACCCGGCCAGGGCAGCGAGTCTTTCTCTTTCTCATCTGAATTCGTAGTCTTTCAGGTCTGACTGAGTTTGCCCATTTGATCACAGAGAACAGAGAACAGAGATTCGTTGAACTATGTTACACTCATTCGAAGAGGAATCTCTGTACATACGAATTGACAATGGTACTGGTCATAAATTTGGAGAGTTTGCTTTTACACGAAAACAAATATTGGACGGGGAAGAAAAAAGGGGAAAAAGTGAAGTCTAAGCGCATATGGCACGCAAAGGAAATCCGATTTCGGTAAGACGTGATCTGAATCGTAGTTCAGATTCAAGTTGGTTTAGTGAGGGCGACCGCGAAAGTAACCGAATGGCTCAGTCTTTTAGTTGTCCCAGATTATCATTTTAGAATCTTTTTAGTTTGGGAATGCCCGGGGCGGACACGACTTCTTCTAAGGCTAGAAGACCACTGGAAGACACCCAGGACTATAGCATGTCGTGAAAGAAGCACACTGGGCGGGCGTGCTTCGACCGTGTCTCCGGGGCACAGTTGAATGTAAATATCATGAACGCGAGGTGCAGGATACCAGGCCGAGAAACCACTCCCCTATGTGCCAATCGCTAGCGCATCCAGGGCCCCGGCGCCCAGCTCAGCTGGAGAGGCCTAGCCTGATCTGAGAACGGTTCGGATAGACAATGCCACCGCCCCTGAGAAAACAAGTGCTAAGTTTGAATAAACCGAAGAGACGTTTCTCGCTCGGCGCCTAAAGCGCACTATGCTCCGCTTCAACAAACGGTGGAACCGGTGAACCACGCGAGCTGGTTAGATGCGTGGGACAGAGGGCTCGTAGTACCTGCTAGCGCGGCTACGCAGTGGAAGGGAAGGAGCCTAAATCGACCCTTTTTCAAAAGCAGTTCGTAGTGAGACTAAGGTACGAATCTCTCTGCGCAAGCTAGAGATTCGTTTCAAATGAGTTGACAGAGAACAGAGATTCGTTGAACATAGTGAAACGAATCTCTGTTCTCTGTTCTTCAGAGGGACTCCCGTTGGTCGTACCTAGAGATTCGTTGAACTATGTTCAACTCATTCGAAGAGGAATCGTTCAACTCATTCAGAGACTTCGTACGTTGTTCAACCGACAGCGTCGCTCCTTGATCGGCGGGGACAAAGGATCAAGCGCTTTTACTTTGTCTCCATCACAGGTTGGGTTTGAGAGCCGTGTGATGGGTGACTATCCAGCACGGTTCGGAGAGCACTTTGAGTCTGCGCTGGTGAATGGAAGCCTCCCCTATAAAGCAAGAAGGAAGCGGCTCTTCCCACGGCGGAGTCACCATTGACTCTATTTATTATTATGGTAAATCAGTGTATCAAGATGTCAATCTGAGATCTTATTTCGGTTCGATACGTCCACCTACGAGACTCACCTTTGGCTTTCGTCTCGGTAGGTGTATTATTCTACATTTTCCCAAAAGAACTTTCATTCATTTATTTATTCCCCGACGACAAAAACGACGTGAAAAAGCCAGACCCGGAAAGGAGAAGGGCCGGTTTTTTGGGGGGGCATTTGGGAAAGTCGGGCCGAATGAGTTGAACATAGTTCAACGAGCGGTAGCCCCTCGAAGAGGTACGACCAACGTACGACCAACGGGAGTCGCTAGAGATTCGTTGAACTATGTTCAACTCATTCGACTAAAAGGAGAGGGGAGAGGAATCTCTCTGCGCAAGCGCAGAGACTTCGTACCTTTCGGGTGTCTTCATTCAAGCGAAGGGGCAGGGAAAAGAGTCGAGTCGATCAGGCTCGACGATCGGGAGAAGCAAAACGAAATCAGGATTTGGCCGAAAAAGAAGCAAGGCTATGGATACCATGACAAATCACCATCGATAAAGAAGACTCTACTTCGGGTCAGCGGGGATGCCGGGATTGTAAATGACATAGCGTTCCTGATCAAAAATGACGAAAAAACTAAGTTATTCAAGTTCTTTTTCCCAAAGAAGTCCCGCTCCGACCGCCCGACGAGTCATCTACTTAAAAGGACCCTCCCTTCCTTAGTTTCACTATGTGAAACTAAGCGACTACGTACCTTGAATTATTCGGTCATGCAATACTTATTGAATACAAAGAAAAAAATGAATTTCGACCCCGTCGTAGTTATCAATCATTTCGTGGCACCGGGCGTGGCTGAACCATCTACGATGGGGGGAAGCTTAGATAAGAGAATACGTTCTCGCATCGCTTTTTTTGTAGAAAGCTCGACCAGCGAGAAAAAGTGTTTGGCCGAAGCCAAAAAGAGGTTGATCCACTTTATTCGCCAAGCGAATGATCTTCGCTTCGCGGGAACAACAAAAACCACCATCTCGCTCTTTCCTTTCTTCGGTGCTACCTTTTTTTTTCCAAGGGATGGGGTTGGGAATAACCTTTTTTCCGAGGATGCCCGGGAACAACTACAACTCCTAGGTCAATTAAGGATAAAATATTGTAACCCCATGAGTCTCATGAGTAAGGATAAGGTAATGGAATTGATAGATCATTTCATAGACCTAGGTAGGATAGGAGAATTGATAAAGGGAATAGAGATGATGATAGAGATCATACTGAGAAACAGAAGAATTCCGTACGGGTACAACTCTTATTTGANCCCGGGCATCCTCGGAAAAAAGGTTATTCCCAACCCCATCCCTTGGAAAAAAAAAGGTAGCACCGAAGAAAGGAAAGAGCGAGATGGTGGTTTTTGTTGTTCCCGCGAAGCGAAGATCATTCGCTTGGCGAATAAAGTGGATCAACCTCTTTTTGGCTTCGGCCAAACACTTTTTCTCGCTGGTCGAGCTTTCTACAAAAAAAGCGATGCGAGAACGTATTCTCTTATCTAAGCTTCCCCCCATCGTAGATGGTTCAGCCACGCCCGGTGCCACGAAATGATTGATAACTACGACGGGGTCGAAATTCATTTTTTTCTTTGTATTCAATAAGTATTGCATGACCGAATAATTCAAGGTACGTAGTCGCTTAGTTTCACATAGTGAAACTAAGGAAGGGAGGGTCCTTTTAAGTAGATGACTCGTCGGGCGGTCGGAGCGGGACTTCTTTGGGAAAAAGAACTTGAATAACTTAGTTTTTTCGTCATTTTTGATCAGGAACGCTATGTCATTTACAATCCCGGCATCCCCGCTGACCCGAAGTAGAGTCTTCTTTATCGATGGTGATTTGTCATGGTATCCATAGCCTTGCTTCTTTTTCGGCCAAATCCTGATTTCGTTTTGCTTCTCCCGATCGTCGAGCCTGATCGACTCGACTCTTTTCCCTGCCCCTTCGCTTGAATGAAGACACCCGAAAGGTACGAAGTCTCTGCGCTTGCGCAGAGAGATTCCTCTCCCCTCTCCTTTTAGTCGAATGAGTTGAACATAGTTCAACGAATCTCTAGCGACTCCCGTTGGTCGTACGTTGGTCGTACCTCTTCGAGGGGCTACCGCTCGTTGAACTATGTTCAACTCATTCGGCCCGACTTTCCCAAATGCCCCCCCAAAAAACCGGCCCTTCTCCTTTCCGGGTCTGGCTTTTTCACGTCGTTTTTGTCGTCGGGGAATAAATAAATGAATGAAAGTTCTTTTGGGAAAATGTAGAATAATACACCTACCGAGACGAAAGCCAAAGGTGAGTCTCGTAGGTGGACGTATCGAACCGAAATAAGATCTCAGATTGACATCTTGATACACTGATTTACCATAATAATAAATAGAGTCAATGGTGACTCCGCCGTGGGAAGAGCCGCTTCCTTCTTGCTTTATAGGGGAGGCTTCCATTCACCAGCGCAGACTCAAAGTGCTCTCCGAACCGTGCTGGATAGTCACCCATCACACGGCTCTCAAACCCAACCTGTGATGGAGACAAAGTAAAAGCGCTTGATCCTTTGTCCCCGCCGATCAAGGAGCGACGCTGTCGGTTGAACAACGTACGAAGTCTCTGAATGAGTTGAACGATTCCTCTTCGAATGAGTTGAACATAGTTCAACGAATCTCTAGGTACGACCAACGGGAGTCCCTCTGAAGAACAGAGAACAGAGATTCGTTTCACTATGTTCAACGAATCTCTGTTCTCTGTCAACTCATTTGAAACGAATCTCTAGCTTGCGCAGAGAGATTCGTACCTTAGTCTCACTACGAACTGCTTTTGAAAAAGGGTCGATTTAGGCTCCTTCCCTTCCACTGCGTAGCCGCGCTAGCAGGTACTACGAGCCCTCTGTCCCACGCATCTAACCAGCTCGCGTGGTTCACCGGTTCCACCGTTTGTTGAAGCGGAGCATAGTGCGCTTTAGGCGCCGAGCGAGAAACGTCTCTTCGGTTTATTCAAACTTAGCACTTGTTTTCTCAGGGGCGGTGGCATTGTCTATCCGAACCGTTCTCAGATCAGGCTAGGCCTCTCCAGCTGAGCTGGGCGCCGGGGCCCTGGATGCGCTAGCGATTGGCACATAGGGGAGTGGTTTCTCGGCCTGGTATCCTGCACCTCGCGTTCATGATATTTACATTCAACTGTGCCCCGGAGACACGGTCGAAGCACGCCCGCCCAGTGTGCTTCTTTCACGACATGCTATAGTCCTGGGTGTCTTCCAGTGGTCTTCTAGCCTTAGAAGAAGTCGTGTCCGCCCCGGGCATTCCCAAACTAAAAAGATTCTAAAATGATAATCTGGGACAACTAAAAGACTGAGCCATTCGGTTACTTTCGCGGTCGCCCTCACTAAACCAACTTGAATCTGAACTACGATTCAGATCACGTCTTACCGAAATCGGATTTCCTTTGCGTGCCATATGCGCTTAGACTTCACTTTTTCCCCTTTTTTCTTCCCCGTCCAATATTTGTTTTCGTGTAAAAGCAAACTCTCCAAATTTATGACCAGTACCATTGTCAATTCGTATGTACAGAGATTCCTCTTCGAATGAGTGTAACATAGTTCAACGAATCTCTGTTCTCTGTTCTCTGTGATCAAATGGGCAAACTCAGTCAGACCTGAAAGACTACGAATTCAGATGAGAAAGAGAAAGACTCGCTGCCCTGGCCGGGTATTTGAATTCAGCTTGCTCTCTTTTCCACGCCAACACCGTCCCCGTCCTCAGACACCAGAGATTCCAATCCGAGATACAAGCTTTAGGTGCTAACTCCCTGCGTCTAACACTTGGAATTATCTCTTAAACCTATATCTTTGTATCGACTTGAAACCCTCATATCATATGTCCACCCGTGGGGCTAGGTATAAGATAGTGAAATCGTAGGTCGGCCGGCCGTGTAAAGTAGCTCTAAAAGTCCTTAGCTGCATTAGCAGCAATAACAACAGTTGGGAGCTTCGCACTAGCTCAATTACATCGAGCCTGGACTCCAACCCATCGCTTTACGCTCTCTTCGATCGTTTTTTGAATATTCTTTGAATATTCCTGGGGCAATAACCTGTAAACCACTAGCTACGCAACCATTGCTTCCTAGCAGCTCTATTACTAGCTGATGACTACCTTCCTAGGTAAGTAGTAAAGACCTCAACGACTATCTTGTCTTCTAATACTATTTTTAAACCATTACCCTCAGATCACAGCCTTTACTCCACGTAAACCGAATGGAACCGTCCTTGGTCATACTAGCCTTCTTACTCGTTCGTTGCACTCACTGCTTGCTTTCTTCAACTAATAGACGAATTATTGGAATATTACGGCGTTGAGACTGAAACAGCCTTCTCTTTCGCTTGGCGACTTTCCCTTTCTTTCGTATCTCTGTCTTCCTTTATTCTTTACGGCTTGGCCTTCCAATAACTTCGCTGACGCTCAATTACATCGAGCCGGGGCTAAAGCCCCCCATAACTATTTGTAAGAGAAATCAACCAAGAAGCAAAAGAAAGTCTGTCTGCGTTGCGTAATCAGAATGTGTTCGAGACAAAGCAAAGAAACGAAGCTGACTCTCATGAATGGATGTCCGAGCATATAGATATATAGATAAGGTACGAAGTCACTAGAGAATTCGTTTCACTATGTGAAACTCATTCGAAGAGGAATCTTCCCTTTATCACGGAAGCAACCAAACACAAGGCCTGCCTTTCAGTACGTGAAAGAAGTCCTTCTCTTTCACTGTCTTACTCTGGCCTCTCTCTAGCGTTCTGTCTATCTTATCTATAGAAAAAGCAAACCTACTTTGTACACACCGGTCATCATTTCTTTCGAACCTAGTTCAGCACGAAATCATGAATAAGCTCTACCAAGCATTTGGTACTGTAACAAAATGAACCAGAAGTAAGACCAAACTGAGAGTGAGCAGCATAACGTCACTCGTTTTCCTTTTTTAGTTCCTGCTCTTTCGACAGCTCCCGGTCCATTGATAAAATAAACTAACTACCCCCTTGGTCTCCAAATCTTCTAAGATTGAATGGAGATGCTCAGGGCCATAGTGAGTTTCGAGAATTCTTACGACCTCTTCGGTCGCATGTGTTCTTGGCGACGTAACTCATTAAGGCGAGGTTCTTGATCCTTTTGGTCGGCCGTTCCCAATTGATTAAGAGAATCAAGTCACTTTGACTCCTCGTCCGATGATTGAGCCTGCTCCGGGAGCGTTCACCGAATCCACTCGTCGCCTTACCGAACGTCCTCTCTGCGATCAGCGCTCATTTTTAACTATACTTAGTATACTTAGAGTTCAGTTTAAAAAGGAGAGAGGGAAAAGAGATCATCCCAACACAACAGGTGACCGGGAAATCCACAGGTTCAATAGAATGGAATGGTCCAGCAAACTGAACGAAGTCCTATGTTAGTCAAACACGGAACAAATCCTATTCGCGAATCGGCATGAACCAAGCTATGGTGCCAAATCCATTGCATTGCATTGCCATCTTAGCAGCTTTATTCTCGGTAGCAATACCTAAAAAATAGAAACGGGGCAGGAAACTACCTCGCGTCTTGTCGAAACAAGGATTTTTATAAATAAATGGCTTTCCATCGCGCGTTGCTTACGAACGAAAAAAGGTACTAAGTGACATGCGGAATACCTAATTCACTGGAGGAACAAAGAAAAGAAGGATCCGTATTCCACCTCAGATGGACTCAGCCTTGTTGGTCCGGAGTCAAGGTTTCTATTGGTTGGGAGATCCGGTCTGCTCCGATAATCTCCCGCAGTGAAGAAAGCACACTCCGTTGACTAGCCATTTATAAATAAAAAAGCCAAAGCGACGTACCTACCGAATTCCACGACTTCGCCAGCCAAGCATTATGTTCCAACACCGGCCCCATACACTCGTACTGATACTGATTGTGCTTTCCATGTCCATATTATGTATTCCGTATGTAAGGTCTTGGTCTTACTGAATTAGTATAGTTAGTTTCATTGATTGCGGATTGCCTTTCAAAAAACCTTCGCAGGCTCCGTTAATTTACATAAATTAATATTCTTTGTGGACCGACCAAGCGGTAGGGCCTCCATTTCGAACTAATCTAAACATGCGGAGGGCTCCTTCAAAGTAAAAAAGTAAACCGGAACTCCCACTCCAAGCTTTGGCATATGGAATAGAGTCGGTAGCACCGGTTGGTTCTATTAGTTCAAGCAAGGCAGTGAGCGTGGATAATTGAATCAACGGTTAAGGATACCCAAGATGGGGCATAGCGGAGATGCAGGCTCGATTCCTTTCTTTACAATCTTTAAAAGATTCCGATAAAGAAGATCCAATCCTATCTTATTGGAAATAGTCAAGCATAAGGCTAGCCTTCTTCTGAGCCAAGATTCAACGCCGGGGACCATTCCACGGGTTTTAGTTTCATAACCAATCCCAGGAGTGGAGAGTGAAACGAAGGAAAAAGCCTTACTTATAGGTCATCCTATTTCGGTGCATGGTCAGAATTGGTGAAATAGCGTAGTATAGCTATTGGGTTGGTGTTAAGTGTACCTTAGTACACGATCGAAAAAAAAAAAGGTCTGGGTGGGATGATACGAAGTTGCCAATTGGCATGTGAAACCGAAGCTTGAACGCTTTGAAACTCCCGCCCTTCCTTCTCTTTCGAATGAAAATATCATAAGAGAAGAAAGAGAGCTTTAGAAGCAGCCAATCTTTTATTTATGCCATGTCTTTCTTGGTTGGATTTCACTATTCGTCTAACTACGTTCAACTCATTTGAAACGATTCGTTGTTCGTTGTTTCACATAGTGAAACGAATCTCTGTTCTCTGTTCTCTAGCAACTCATACCCAACCGGCGATTTACAACAAGCCTTTCTTCCTTTTTTTGCAAGAAGCGGAACTACAAGAAAACTTTCTTTATCTTTATGGATAACCAATTCATTTTCAAATATAGTTGGGAGACTTTACCCAAGAAATGGGTCAAAAAAATGGAAAGATCGGAACATGGGAATAGATCTTATACCAAGACGGACTACCTATTTCAATTGTTGTGCTTTCTTAAATTTCATACCTATACAAGGGTTCAAGTTTCGATCGATATTTGCGGAGTTGATTATCCCTCTCGAAAACAAAGATTTGAAGTGGTCTATAATTTACTGAGTATTCGGTATAACTCACGCATTCGTGTACAAACCAGTGCAGACGAAGTAACACGAATATCTCCGGTAGTAAGTCTATTTCCATCAGCCGGCCGGTGGGAGCGAGAAGTTTGGGATATGTTTGGTGTTTCTTCCATCAATCATCCGGATCTACGCCGTATATCAACAGATTATGGTTTCGAGGGTCATCCATTACGAAAAGACCTTCCCCTGAGTGGATATGTGGAAGTACGCTATGATGATCCAGAGAAACGTGTGGTTTCTGAACCCATTGAGATGACCCAAGAATTTCGCTATTTCGATTTTGCTAGTCCTTGGGAACAGCGTAGCGACGGATAATTAAGATAGGTTCCAGTCCAGGGGACAAATCAATAGGAAATGAGGAAATGAAAGAGTTTCACGGGAATTGTCTTGATCGTCGGATATCATTGAGAAAGAAATAGGAAGAAGTGTTATCGAACGATTTCCTGCAATTCTTCCCAGTATGGAATGAGTAAAGAATCAAGCTACAAGTCTCGATGGTTCGGTTTCATTAATCCAATTAGAATGCTGTACACCGTGCTCCTTGTCATTTAGAGTTCAATACTTGTTCACTTCACTTCGTACCTCTTCGAATGAGTTGAACTATTCGTTGTTCGTTGTTGAACATAGTTCAACGTTTGAAACGAAATGAGTTGAACTATGTTCAACGAACATAGTGAAACGAATCTCTGTTCTCTGTTCTATAGCTACTTCGTACCTATTTCGTTACACTCATTTCGTACCTTTGCTCTTTCCCCGCCTCAGTTGACTTAACTGCTTGAGCAGCCCGATCAATTCATGAATACAGGGAAGTGGGAACGCAGATGATCGGGAATCTTATTGAGGAGAGCGATAAAGGCACAGAGGGGTCAAATCTGTAAGGCTATTACGTATTAACAACCTGTCAAAGTCTACTGGGAATACTGGGAATGTAGAAGTCTATTATTTATGTATGAAGTCTCCTACTGGCTTGCTTGCCATCTCTCTTGGTCCTGCCGAGGGGAAGGGATGGGGAACGAACGCATTAGTTGTGCCTACTGCCTCCCGGGGCTAGGCGTAGCAACGAACGAATAGGGGTAAGAGGGTGGGGGCCACTCGGATCGGATTCAAGGAAGGGGTCGAGAGCTTGGATCCAGGTCATTGCTACGCTCGTTCGTACTCCTTGATGGAACAGCCGACGGGCGCGGGTTTGGGACAAGGAGATGCCCTAGCATCGGAAGAGATAAGAGGTAGGGTTGGGCCAGTTGGTGCTAGCAGCCAGGAGAGAGAAAGAGATGATTGGTTGAAAGGCCCTGGCATAGGAAGAAAGAATTGGTGGACTTGGTGAAGAGCAATGAGAAGGAGCTGTAAAAGCATTATGATAGATTACACTAGATAGAAGTAGAATAGAAGTAGAGCGCCTTGCGCGAGACCCTCACGAAAGCCCGTCTTTTTGCTTTTTGATTCAAACCTAAATTCCTTTCATAGAGCTGGTGGAAGTTCATGAAATGAAATCCGGTTTCCTTTCCCACTTAGATATACTCCGGGGGGAACTTGGTCCCGGAATAA